CCTCTGCGCCAAAGTGCTGCAATTTCTTCTCTACTACACACATATAAACACATATAGCCCAAAAACGAACTACAAACTATTCCTGAAACAGACACGTTCATCATATATATGAACTGCAGCATATTATACTCATAAATATAGCACGCTGAATCACTGATAATGTGACGTGCTTGCATAGTGATACAGTTGCTCGAATCAGTTGCTGCTGCTTCGGATAAAGCTCACCAATGTTGCCCAAATCGCTCGACGCTCCCGGGTGAATAACAATATTGCCTAGCTTCACAAAGCCCCAGATGTTGATGCTTACAATCAATAAAGATAGGCGGTGGTATTTACCTCTCCTTGAGATATTAATTTTTTTTTGGCTGGATCGCACTCTCGACCGCCACGATGTGTAGTCGAACTCAGATATATCCCAGTAGACCTCTGGAACTGTCGATCGATCTTGTGTAGAAGATCGATGGCTCGCATCGATACCTTTCGCGTTTCTTCGACGTCATTTGGAAAAGCGAAGTGTGCTGCACTGAATGAGGAACACAACTTCCCGTCCGCATGAGTTCGTTGAGGTGCGGGATGTAAAGGTTTTACGAGCGCGATGAATCTCAGTCAGCCTGAGGTTAAAAAGAGTGATCGCTTAGCTGCTGAGATATGACAGACCGAATCCATGGCTTTTCCAACCTGTTCTACCCAGAAAGAAGACTTTTTCCGTCCTGGTCTTCGAGTGGATTGGCACTCAACAGAAGACACCCATCAATTTGGGAGCCGGCGGTACTTACACTGACGTCGGACGGGGATCCTTGATGTGTCTCATCAGCGCATATTTATAGTTGGGATAGGACTCTTTATGGACCATGGATCGCCGATTGCGCTACCCCTCTGGGCCAACTAGATACAGAAGCTTGTTAAGATGGTCTTGGGCAGATGCTCAAATAATCACGCTCCAGCCCCGCAAATCAGACTCGGTCTTTGATTCGATGACAACTTTCTCCAGATGCTTGCACTTTGCAGCAGAGTTCACGTTAATTAGCGCTCAGAGGTTGGTTCTGCCGACCGTCCTAGAGGTACCAAACTTATAGTCTTTCACATACGTAACACTCACAGTTGCTCAATTTAACGAGGTATATTTAGAATTATACCCAGCAAAAATGATACTTAATATTGCTATCTACAATGATCAAACACTATATAGCGTAGCCCGCGTGTCCTCTCATCTCATTTGTACCGAGTAAACTACAACATTGTACTCAGAAGTAGTCAGAACACTACAACATTGTGTACTGAGTTCTGCTTCCAGTGAGAAAAACAACCTGAAATACTTTGATAGAGTTTGTACATGTTGTGGTGTCTCGAACAGATGTACGAAATATACTGGTTTATTTGAATTTTGTGGTAGACGTCTCAACGACCGTAGATTTCCTTGGATGTACATGTTTATGCACTTTTAAGCATAATGCTGCGTAGCGATTCACTACACACACCTTGAAACATCTACTGCCACCGCTCGTAGTCCATTACGTTTGTTGCTGGTCAGTGCTTTAGATGTTGCTACAAAACCAAATTAACTTTTCGGTGATATTTACGTATGATGCTTTGCTTAAAGTTGCACTAACAGCAACCCATATTTCCAAAATCGATAACTTGTAGTTGTTCGCTGCATTGTGCAATTTTGCCAAACGTCGAAGAATCATACGCTTAAAAAAGTTACTTGAGAATCAGGAACCATGAGTGACGCCACAAAGCCGCTTCAGAGCCTGCTGGACGAAATAAGTACACGTTTGGCCCGTGTGGAGGCATGTCTTGACGTGTCAAATGATTTCGTATCCTCGTCATCTATCGCTGCTCCCGCTGAAGAGCTGCCACCCCAGCTCGTGGCGTATGACAAGTATGTGGCCCAGTATCTTCCACCATTTGTAGAGGTAGCCACCAGACTTAGTGACGATACGAAGAAGCTTGGTGAGGTGACGGAGAAGGCATTTGCCTGTCAGCGCGCCTACCTTCTTATGGCAAGTCAGTGCAAGAAGCCAGCCACAATTAATCCAGAGCACCTTAAAGATTTGCAAATTTGCATAAAGGAGATCAACGTTTTGCGTGACAACCGCAGTGAGTTTGCCAATCATCAGAATATGGTCAATGAAGGAATTCAGGCTCTGGGCTGGCTCTGTGTCGAGCCCGCACCCAAGCCATTCATCGAGTCGTACGTGGGTGGCTCGGACTTTTGGGGAAACAAAATCCGCGTGCAATACAAAAATTCTAGCGCGGACCAAATTACTTTCGTCACGGCATTCAAGAACCTTTTGACTGAGCTAATGGTCTACGTCAAGGCGCACCACACGACAGGCGTTGCGTGGAACCCCAAGGGCGGCGACGTGTCTAGCTACAAGCCGGTCGCGACCTTGTCTGCCACAGCTGCTGCTGCTCCTGCTGCTGGTGGTATTGCTTCTGTATTTGCTGGTATTAAATCTATTGACCAGAGCAGTGGTAAGACGGCCGGACTTCACAAAGTCACCAAAGACATGCAAACGTGGCGCAAGGACTACGAATGTGACGGCGGGGCATCGAAACTTACTGCCCCCATTGCTTTTAAAAAACCAGTCGCTCCCGTAAAAATTTCTAAACCTGCTCTGTGTGAAGAGCGCAACGGAAACTGGCAGATTGAATATCAGACAGGCCAAGAACCGCTCACAGTAAACGGTATCAACATGAAACAGCAGGTCTACATCTTTGGCTGCGAGAATGCCACCATCCTTTTGGAGGGCAAGGCGAAAAACATTGTGCTTGACTCATGCAAGAAGACCAAGCTTATTTTTGACAATGCCGTGTCTAGCATCGAAATTGTCAACTGCAAGGGCGTACAGGTGCAGTGTAAGGGTGTAGTACCATCCGTGGCCATCGACAAAACGGACGGCTGCCTTGTGTACATTTCGTGGGAAGGACGTGATGTCCAGTTTGTCACGTCAAAGAGCTCTGAGATGAATGTGGCATTCCCGGAGGGTGCGGGTAGCGATGACTACGTAGAGAAACCGATTCCGGAGCAATTTGTGCACAAGATTATGGATGATTTGACTCTTTCGTCAGATGTATCAGATCTGTATTCGCACTAGAATTTACTACATTATCGCGCAGCGTTTTAAGCTCGTGCCTTAAATGTACCCGAGGATGTGCCTCTTCTTTCTCAGTATTATTTTGAGTTTATGTTTTATCGCAAATTTACTTGAATACAACATTTTGATTCGTGCTGTGAAGGGTCGGCGATAAAATAATGTGATCAATGAATAGTTGACTCGTATAGGGAAAGATGTTAAGCGCAGCAGAGGCAATAACGCCTTCTTCTACTACCGCAGTAGAAGACAAACTTTGCTCAGCTGAAGAACTATGGTGGGAACCTGGGCTGATCTCGCTGGAGCACTTGGAGCAGTTGCATGCAACAGAGTCAGCGGCAGAACGAGTCGAACTATTGCAAAGCGCATTAAATGTGCAACACTATTCTGTCAGCCCACGCGCCAAAGTGTGGGTGGATTTTTGCTTTGGGGTGCTTCAATTTGCTCAAGACAAAGCGCATTTGGCCCCTGAAAAGACTTTGATTCTTCTCACGCTTGCAAACGAGGTGTACGATTTTGCAACACAGCCGCTATCGATTGCAGCAGATTCAGTTGCGAATGGAAGCGTTGAATCGGTGCTAGCAGTGATAGAAGATAGTAGTGGTTTTCAGGAAAATGCACAGACCGAGATAATGCCAGCACTGACAGTGGAAAGTAGTAGGCTACAAGAAAATGCACAGACCGAAATAATGCCAGCGATTATTCAGGAGTATCCTTCTACAGAAGCTGTTTACGAGCACTTCTGCGGAACAATGCGGCAACTATGTGGTGTAGTGGATGTAGACAATGCAAAGGTTTTGCTATCAGCGCGCTTGTCGTCAAAAGAAGTGGCACAATTCGTGACCTTCTTATCGTCCACTTTTTTTCGGAACTTGCGGGCGTACCAATATTTGAGCCGAGTTCCGCGTCAGACCTTTGTGTGTGAGTGTCTGCTGCCAATCGAGACTCCGCTTTCGCCGCCTTCTCTTGTCGATGCTATCTTAGATAATTAGCACAACAACTGGTTTCATCTGAATATAACGTCAATTTCACCAGATAACCCTTTTGAACGCCAAGACGTGGCAAAAGATTGACTCACAACGTTACATAAAGGTCTAATCGAGGTAAACCACGGCTGTTTGACTTGTTTTTGGGTCTACGCAATGCAGTCACTACTCTTGATTTACCTGGCTGCGGGAAGCTACAATAGTGAGCTGCAGACGCACGCACCTTCACAAGTCTTTGAGAATAAATGTCACTGTTTGCTTTGTTTTTCTGGTATCTATAATTGTCTTGAAAACGTAGCATCTGCTAAGCCGACACGTAGCCTGTAATCGTGCTAAAGTCGATATCCTTGAGAGAGTTAATGGTGCCGTTTAAGATAATGAATGAGCCCACAATCTGCGAAGTTCGCACTGTCAGGCCCTTAGGGAATAGTAGCGCTAGTGCCGTGGCTGCAATGTACCGCTGGCGAGGAGACACCGTGTTGGGTACACGCACCTCTGCACGCCGGATAAAATCATCCATGTGCTCGCCGTAACTTTTCTGGGGATGCATGAGCTTCATTGTGGACAGATTGTGCGGCACATGCGACAGATATCCCGAAACGACTCCAGCCGCCATGCTTCCGATGGCATTGTTTAAAGCAGGGCTTGCAGTCACGGACAAACGCTCTTCAAAGTAGTCCGACAACTGGTTCAAACCAACACCAAAAATTACCTCACGTAGCATTCGCGGGGCCGTACCGCGGATCCAGCGCGTGGCTAATGACTCTGGGTTCATGTGGCCAGCGTTGAAGGCTTCGAGCATACTACTCACAGGCGTCATAATGACACCCGGTGCTACAGCTTCCCCCAGACGGACCAATAGCGGATACTCGTATTGTTCGGCATCGACATTTTTTTCCAACAGGTGACGAATGCCTTTGAAACCATTAATGTATATCATACGCGTAGGAATTTGCAGGTGCATCTCAGGGAAGAATCTTGCAACAGGTTGGCCGGTGAGACGAGCGTTTAATAGTGAGTTCATACCACTACGGTAAAATGACTCGATGGAGGCGGCCACAGACGTAGCGAAGTACGGCGTAGGCTTGGCATGCTGCTCGAACAGCGGCGTCTGTAGCAATGATGCCTGCCGCCTAATTTCTTTGCTTAAGCTGTGCATAACTTCACGTGCGGCAGTCTTGTCTTCAAGAACCTCATCCAGCGCAGCACTCTGCAGTGAGAAGCCCGACACAGGAGTGATACAGCGCACCGTCACGGCCGCAGGATCCTGTACGAGTGCGTGATTACTGCTCACGGCCCCGCTAGTCATCACTCCAAGTGTGTGTTCTTGACCCTCAATTATCTTGGTGCTTTCCACGCTCCCCTGCTTTAGCAACAGCATTTCGCTCTGCGTCTCACCCTGTCGGTATACAACAGCGTTCTTGGGATACGTCACGGCCTTAGCACGCGAGCAGATCTGGCGCAGCGTCGGCTCAGAGCACAGTGAGAACATGCCCGAATTGGCAGCGGCTTGGATGCAGTCGTCCATAATGAAAATGATGAACGCGTGTTGTGGATCTGTGCACGTAAAATAGAGCGGGATGCACGAATTGCTTGGTCAGGTAGACAATTGACTGTACATTATCTCGAACTCGGTAGCGAGTTCAACGAGGCCGTTAATCGAAAATATTATCTCAAGGATCATTGAACTGTATCACAACCTGACGTTTCTATACTCAACACTCAGCTCATTGGCCTATGCGGATAAGTCGATCGATTGTTGCTACTGCGAAGCCGTGCCTGGCGTGGACTTGCTGTCACTAAAGCCGATCGTCCTGCACTCAAAGCATTAATGGGTTTGCGGTGCGGCGTCTTACGCAATGGCTGACCTGCTATGAAGCCCGTTTCACAGCTTAGTACATCTGATGTCAAAGAAATGCTGAGATCGGGTTTGAGAGTTGATGCTGCGTGACTAGGGAAAAGCGATGGTAAATGTGTGCGCGAAAAATCCTCTAGGGTGCTGTCATCGACGCATTCCTGCCGACGTCGCTCGATCATCACATCCCGTTGTTTATCAAGATGCATCATTGCATGCACAACTTTCGCAACAGGGGCGGAAATTTTCTCTTTTTGGTGCTCACGAGTATCATAGTCTACAGTGAAGCGCCAATCGCGTTGCGAGGTTTCGCTATGGTCAGTGCATAATTTATTGTCGCTACTTGATGGATTTTGCCCGCCCTGCATGAGCACACCCAGACAATCGCCGTTCAGAGACCAGAGTTTAACTTGACGGTCAAACGAAGATGATATGAATGTCTTTGGCTCTTTAATCATTTGCACCGAATACACCACGTCGTCATGTGCTTTCCAGCGGCGTACGAGCGATACTGGTGGCACTTTCTGCATCTTCCCATCTACATGTCGATTTTCCCCGTCGCTCTCCACCTCGTTCGCGACGAGTGGCATACCCAAGGAAAATAGGAATGATGAAAGCGGATCGCGATGTTCATAAGCGACCCACTCTGGTGTGTTGTGTGCCTTGCGAACCATACTGGTCGCATCCACTCGCAAATTTCTGTGCGCGTTTACACATTCAACAGGCTTGGCCAGCGGTTTAAGGTCAAAGTGCTTTGCAAGATGCTCAAGCAGCGGCAGAATGTTCCACACACTCACAAATCCTTTGTCATCTCCCGTGATGACGACGTATGACATAAAATCCAGATTATCACCCTCATCTTTACTGCCAACGGTGGTGCGCGATCTTGAGAAAGTATGGCGGATTGAGTCTGTGGCAATACAGTTCACGGGTACACTTTCCGATTGGGTTAACTGGTTACGAAAGCGAAAGACGCATTTTCCCTTATACTGAGCTGATGGACGCATGGCCCAAAAGCAAAGATTGCCTGTGTTGTCGCTGGACAGGAGCAGCGGGAATGGATCGAGAAACTGTAAACACAACAAGCCACTCACATGACCGATACACGTTGCATCAAGACGTCCAAATTCATAGTCCCATACTTGCAACGTGCAGTCTGAGGACCCTGACGCAAGAAGAGAGAGATGGTGCGAAAAGCTGAGCGCTGTAATATCCATGGAGTGTCCGCCACTAATTTGTCGAAGCAGTATACCGCGATCCGAGTCTCTTTCATCGTAAATACTGATGGAACAGTCCCATGAGACACTTATGACAGACATGTGATCGGCGCAGTAGCACAATTTGGTTACTTCAGCGGTGTGTGCACCATTGCCGATCTCAGGGTTTTTGAATGATTTCATGTGCGAGCCATTCAAATAGTCAAACACATGAATATTACCCCCTGCAGTCAAAGACGCGTGTAAGCATAATAATTGATGCAAATGTAAAGCAAAAAAGCTTTGAACCATGGTCTCCGACGATAAGTTTGCGCTCTCGGAAGTCTAGACAGATAGTTGTCAAATCCGTCGAGCTCAAATTTCTGTGTTCGCATGCTCAAGCGAAAGTGAGTAGGATATTAACTCGACACAAAACTTAACGTTACCTATACACGCGAATAAGCTTGCCAAGACGCGCATCCCAGATTTTGACATTCTTTCTGGTAGCTGTGACGAATGAGAGTGACCGTGAGTTATACAGCGCGCAAAATACCGGGTGGTTGTCGGTTAGATGCGGATTTTCTAACTTTTCGTAGTCAAACTTGACTATCTACAAGAAGCAAAAACATGTTAAAGACCACACTCGAACGAAAAAGGTACATGTGAAAATCACAAAATATCCACGCCTTTTTTCCTGCTGCAAGAATCCTTTTAGATGAGATGATCGAGACAATACTTTTAACTTCTCCCACATTATCTGCAGTGAAGGTCTGCATGCAGGCAAAATTGCGTATATCCCAGACTTTAAAAATCCCGTCGACATCAGCTGTGATGATCTGGGGTGTACCGGGAATTATTTCGACCCCACAAAGACTATTATTGTGGCCATGCAGCCGAAGGATAAGCTGGTCAACGTAGGGATTCCAAACCACAGCATCGAAATCAAATCCAGCTGACACAAGAAAGCGATATTCAGGAGAATAGGCTAGCGATCGCACGCCTTTATCGTGGCCCTCCAGTTGCTGTTTTAACTTCCCTGTATGTACATCCCACAATCGGATAGTCCGGTCCATACTGGCAGATGCGAGAGACTCGAGCGTGGGTAGCTATTTTACGCAGGGACATCAAGTATAAGGTGTCTTCAAGAGAAAAAGCAGACAAGTAGAAAAAGCAGGCAAGTATAGCAATAGAAGCACAAACCGTGAGGAGATCAAGTACAGCGTCATCATGAGATCGAGACAAGACTTGTCCATGCACCTCGCCGCTCATGTGATGTTTTTCTTCCATACTTTCAGCATTCCAGGCTTGGACAATGCCACTTTTCCCGCCTGAGAAGAGTACAAATGACTCTGGATACCATTTAAGGCAATTCTGCGACGTTGGAGTATGGCAACACTTCGTGAGCTTTAATGTAGTATCGTCATAAAAGCGGAACTGCAGGTCGGAAGATGCCACGATGTATTGATTGTGCTATACGAAAAGCAGGCAGGAACAGTGTGAAAATATCTATAGGAATTTAGCACAATATTTTTTTCCCACCTTGGGCAAGTGCTCGGCACATTGTACAAAGCCTTCAGGTGACTTAATGGTACGATAAAGCTCGCAGTTGACGTTGTAAAACTTAAGATACGGGCTGCAAGTTTCAACGAGCGCCACGAGGTCCTTTGATGAGAAGTAATATATATGGTCGATGAAAGTGTTGTGTTTCGAGGCGTCTTCCCACTGCACATGATGATATTGTTGTATTGAGTGTGGCTGGTGACTCTTGGCGGTCAGTCCCGTGTCCACAATAAACGACGTAAATTCTTCCCACTCCATCGAGCCATCGCCATTAATATCGATCTGTGCGAAAAGCTCGCACAAATTTCCGATAAGCTGCGACTCGCTCAAATCATTAAGCCGCGACTTTTTGTCTGTGTGGGCGCTGCGCTCTACGAATCGCATCATGACGTACACAAACTCGGCAACAGATAGCCCCTTGCCCTTGCGCTCGAACTCATTACGTAGCATGCTCACCTGTTTATCGCGGTCGCTAGTATCAACTCATGAATAAGTAGAAAGACTTGTGGATGCTATATATGAGCTCACTTTTTCAATGTCCATCATCATCATTATGTCCATTGTAAAGCCCTTTTCTGGGTCCTCTTCATAGGGTCGACCGCTAGTATCTTGCTTGGAGCTACAGACAATGACAGCAAGGATTAGTACTGGCCAAGATAGATAATTTAACCTTGTCAAGTAATGATACAATTCGTTGTTCACTTCAGTGAGGAAAGCTGATGATACCCATTCGTCGCCGTCATGTGCGTCTTCCATTTCAGCCTTAAATTGAAGTTTCAGCACACTTCAACTTTAAGAAGATGGAATTATATCGTATTTTTTATTACTTTTTCAAACCAAACTTACAAATAATTTAGATATTTTACCACAAGAAGCTGCTTCAAAGAATCTCAAACTGATGCCGTACGACATCGTTCTGGATATGCTCTACTGCTGAATCCGTCAACACCATTGTCGACTAGCTATGGTCCCTGCAGACGACCAAATCATACCGTGACTGTAGCTTCACAGGCGAATCGTTGGAATATGTATAGCTCATGCTGTGGACGGTAAATTGAAGAAACCTCAGTCGATTACGAACGGCAAAGTCGAGCAGCCGTTGGAGAAGGCGAACATGGTAAACGCACACCACCTAGCACTATCGTAACCATTATACCTCAGACTTCGCGCCAAGTCCTGAAGTATCAAAGTATGGTACTTGATAAAGTATTGTACACATACTGGTACGGATCAGGGAAATAGAAAGGAGGACACCTGGATGAGAAGTCTCAACCTGTTCTGGACACAGGGTGTTACTATCGTCAAAAGTCAAACCGTTTTAGTCGTACTAGTTCTGAATGTATATTACTCGTGGAATAGAAAAGATATTTAGTTTTAAGTCGCTTTGGTAGCTCTCAGTTTCGCCTCTGATTGGAGCGTACAAACTTATCTTCTGTGGGACGAGATGTCCTTCGAAGAGTTTGGCGGTGCCTTGAAGGCAGGCGATTTAGCCGAGTCGTCATTATACGACCCGAACAAGGAGATTACCTCGTCGTCGCTTCTGGATGAAGCTGTTCTGGAGGCCACCAAGAGGGTACTGAGCGCACGAAGTGGATCGTCAATCCGAGGGATCCCTCGTATCCGTACCATCCTTTGTTAAAAGAATTTCATGGCGTCGTCTCCAAAGACCCGCCG